TGCTTTTTTTTAACTAGAAATTGTTCTAAGGCGTCAATATTTGAAGGAAGACTTTTGCCTTTCGAAAGTCCCTCATTATACAAAACATACATTTCTTTAACAATTTCATTAAGAAAATCCTGTGACTTGCCTTCTAAATACAATTGATTAACTTCGTTGTATATTTTAGCAATGTCTGAATGATTGTCGATTTCTTCTGGTCGTTTTACAATCGACATTTTGACATAATGAAAGAATATGTTACATATAGACTTACGTACCAAATTTATTGAGAATAAATATTTATTGCATTGCGTAACGTTCATGTCTATCATACTGTCCTAGCGTTACCATCCTAAAAAATTTCGCAAGACCAATCAAAATTTAGTGATCATCCAAAATTTTTAAAAATTTCTAACCTTCTAGCGAAGGTTTCTACTAATTCTTAGAATTGATTTATAAAAAAAAATTTTATCAAACTCGATTTAAAAAATTTGTTTAAAAATTAAAAAAAAAACCTACTTTAGCATTTATATATATATTGTATATTATATATTTGTAGAAAGTTGTAGATTTCTTTTTTTACATTACTATTAAAATATTAATATTATGTAATTCTTAAAATTTTTTAAGTTTATTTATATTAGAGTTATCATTTTAACTAATAAAGTTTAAGATGACTAAAGTAAAATTGGATAAAAATTTTTTTGCTAGTATACAAATATGGTTTCTTAAATGAATTTTTTAAAAAAATATATTTTTTAACAAAACTAGTTTTTGGTTTAGATCTTTATAATTATAGTCTGAAATGGGCTAGGCATAAACCGAGAAATTTGCAGGCTTGGGTCTAGTTTAGACTTATATTTTTAAGTATATTTGTTATTTGAACTAAACTAATTCAGGCCTTCTAAAATACAAATAAAAAAGCTTATACAGGCCTAATAATATCCAGTAATATTGTCAAAGATCATATTAATAGTAAGATAGTTATATCTACAGAACTTGATTAAATTTTGGAAATAGCTTATTGCTATTACTGAAACATCTGATAAAAGATTTTCAATTGATCCAGTTAAGTTGGTAATTTCAGTATAATTTATATAAAAAGCTAATTCGTATCATAATTATTATATAAATAAATATAATAATATTAATGTTATTAAATTTTGTTTGGATACTTGTACAACATACAACATGTTTGGTGTGTTTAGTTTGTAGAAAATTGTTGATAAGACCTTTTTGCCAGTCAATAAACCTTGATAAAAATAAAAAATTTTTGAACAAAAAATAATTTTTATAATAAATATATTATATGAATAAGTACTAAATTAAAATTTGTCAAAAATGGGTTACAAAAATTTTTAATATATCGATATCTTTGAAAGTGCTTGAGAACCCAACTTACATAAGACACGTATGCTAAAACCCAAACATTTGGCAATTTTCAAATTAAAGCCTTTTAAATTTTTTTTTTCAACTATTCGCCAGTGAATACACTTCGAAAATTTCATATTTCTGTATTCAACTAAAGATATTCGCCAATCGTAAATCTTTAATTACTTATTATGTCAATTTTATTGGAAATAAAAAAAATTGCAAAATAGTATATACTACGCCTTATTCCTAACCCTAACATCGTGACTCTCATGCATTATTTGTGCAAATATAAGAGGATAATTTTTTTGTTTTTTTTTCTTTTTGGTTTGTATCACCGGCGCAAATAAGTAAACCAAAAAAGGAACAAACAAAAAATATCATTTTATATCAGCACAAATAACGAATGAGAGTCACGATGTTAGGGTTAGGAGTAAGGCGCAGTATGTACTAAAATTTTGCAAGGAAGATTTTTTATTAGAACGTTAAAGTGATTTTTAGACCGAAATTTGAAAGCCTTCGTTTTAATGTTACACCAACGGTTGTACCTGATAAGAAAATTACCGTATTTGGTTTGTATCACGGGCGCAAATAAGTGTAAATCCTAAGAAATCACCTATAACGTTCTAATAAAAAAAATTCCTTGCAAAATTTTAGTATATATTGCGCCTTACTCCTAACCCTAACATCGTGTCGTGACTCTCATTCGTTATTTGTGCTAATAAAAAGGTAAATTTTTTGTTTTTTTCCCTTTTTTGGTTTGTATCGCCGGCGCAATTAAGTAAAATCCCCATTTCTGTACCTTATTCGTGATCGTGTTATGTTGCACCAAATTGCAATTAATTAATGGCTAATTTGACGTACGTACGTTACGTACGTACGTACGTATATCGTCACGTAACAGTGACATTTTGCGCGGTGGTAGTTACGTACTTGGCCACTTCGTGACCATGATTAATCTCCATTTATTTTTAATCGCCTTTAAAATTTAAAAGAATCTTCGAATGCCAGAAATTAAACTGAACTTCTTTATTATTATATAAGCCTACATAGAGAGCAAATATACATATGAAATTTAGATGCTCGATCAATTGACTTTGTATTATAAAATTTACATGTGACATATCGTGTGACTGAAATGTAATACACGTACGTACGTACTTATGTAATTGCATTACGCAATGTAATAAATACATATCCTCAATAAATTTATAAGTACGTACGTACGTACATACCTGCATATGCAGTATATTTTGTTGCGTTAAAATGTCAAATGCAATACAAGAAAAAATCTACAATATATTAGAATTTTATTCCAAAGATGGATCACAGAATTTTCTTCATGAAATTATTAAAGAAATGTATAATTTGTATAATGAAGAAATTTTGAAAGGCAAAAATCATGAATCAGTTCTTGACGTTTTAGAACAATTTCTAGTAAAAAAAAATCAAAATCCAGATGATATTATTCAGTATTGCTTACTTAATCAATCCGATCCTATGGTTCAATTCATTCTTGCAATTTGTTATCGTTTTGGTAAATGGATTGAAGATGATGAACATAAGGCAATCATTCATTATCAAAAATCTGCAGAGATGGGAAATGCTGACGGAATGTGTGAAATTGGGGATTGTTATCTAAGTGGATTTGGAGTTAAAAAGAACAAACATAAGGCATTCATTTATTATCAAAAATCAGCAGATATGGGGCATGCTGTTGGAACATTTAATGTTGGGTATTGTTATGATGAAGGAATTGGAGTCATAAAGGATAAATGTAAGGCATTCATTTATTATCAAAAATCTGCAGAGACAGGGTATGCTACTGCGATGCATAATGTTGGAAATTGTTATGAACATGGAATTGGTGTTGAAAAAGATGAACAAAAGGCCTTTGAATATTATTCAAAGAGTGCTGAATATGGAGATTGTTGTGGAATGCATAAAGTTGGATTGTGTTATCAGGAAGGAATTGGCGTGAAAAAGAATAAAGATTTAGCTTTTGAATGGTATTTAAAATCTGCTGTTACTCTACATGAATGTAATTATAATAGCTATTTCAGTTGGATAGAATTCGATACTTTTAGAAATATTGAAGAAATAGGTAAAGGTGAATTTTCCGTGGTGTACAAAGTGTCATCTAAAATACGATATGGAACGAATGATGAAGTTGCAATCAAGATAATAAAAGATTCACATAAAAATCAAAAACTTTTTTTAAATGAGGTATTTTTTTTTACGTACCTAAATTACATATTATTGTTTATACTGTATTAATTTTTAAATTAATTGTAATTTAATTATTTTTTTAGTTGAAGGCGTATCATGAATTTCGCAAATATCGTGGTATATCAATGGACAAAAATACAGGAGACTTTATTTTAGTGCTAAATTACGCAAGATTTGGATCATTATGTGATAATCTCAAAGATATATTTAAATTAGAATGGAAAATTAAGTTAGAAATATTATGTGATATTATTAACGAGCTATCAAATATTCATTCTAAAAACTTTGTACATCGAAATTTACATTCTGGAAACATTTTACTAAAAGAACGATATAAAGCATATATTGATTTAGGTTCATCAATGTCGCTTGATAAAAAACTGGATGATCATATTTATGGAGTTTTGCCATATTTAGCACCTGAGGTCTTGAAAGGCGAACAGCTCACTAAATCCGCTGATATTTACAGTTTTGGAATTATTATGATAGAAATGTTAACCGGTCGAAGACCTTTTGATGGTTATAATTTTGATGCTGAATTAGCAGCGATGATTTGTCATGGATTACGACCCGAATTTATTATAAGGACACCAAAATGTTATGTTAAATTAGCCAAACAATGTGTTAATTCTGATATGAAAAAAAGACCTACGGCCATTGAGATTATTAATCAATTTGAAAAATGGAAAAACATTATAGTTGCCAACGATAGTAATGTTAAATTAGTTAAACGATGGATTAATTCAAACATGAAAAAAAGATTTAAAGCTGTTGAGATTTTTGATAAGCTTAAAATATGGGACAAGCAAGTCGTTAATGATAGTGATGTTAAATTAGACAATCAAATTATTGATTCAGATGAAGAAATTAAACAGCAATTTTTAGAAGCTGATAAATCAATCAAAGAATTGCCAATTACCTCGCAAAAACATGACAATATGATGTACATTTCTAAACTTATCGATACGAGAGAAGTCGTTTCAGAATTTGAAAATTTTAGCAAGTAAAGAGATTCTTCTGATAATATTGATAACTATTTATTTTTTCAAGATTTTTTATAAATAGTATTGGGAAATTCTATTTTCACCCGGGTAAAATCACCCGAAATATTACTAATACAGTTCATTTAATTACGTTATAGTTTATCGGGTGACTTTAACAAGGGTGAAAATAGAATTTCTCAAAAGGCATTATAAGAATTATCAACAAATTTGAACAACTTTTTTTATAAATAAATTATGTAAGTCATACATTCTCAAAAGGCATTATAAGAATTATCAACAAATTTGAACAACTTTTTTATAAATAAATTATGTAAGTCATACATTTTCAATATACAATATATCCATTAATTAATTTATATTCTTGCGTTAATTATAAATAAAGAAAACAATGTATTTTCACTATATTTGGATTATATGGGCAGAGATAAAAACCGTCTTGTGATTGTTATTCATCATATACCAGGTAAAAAAAGTTAAAGTTAAAATTTAACTCGGATGGATTATAATTGGTCCACAAGCAAGGTCCGATTTTAAAATCCAATGTCCACTGATATTTAAGAGATAACGGTCCTATAATAAGTAACAACGATGCCATATTTGGCATTTGCGTCTTAGAAGCGACTAATATTACTTCTCAAGTGGAAAATAATTCAGACATAGGAACGGCTATTTCTGATCAAATATACAGTAATACGACCCAAGAAAATCACCACCACTTGCCATTGGCAATCATATACGCAAAGAGCCCATATGTCAAGGGTTTGCACAGTGATTTTTTATGGCAGTAAAGCTAAAAAAAATAAAACGTAACAGACGAAAAAATTCTTGAAAAATGATTGTCTTTATATAGTTGGTAAGTACGGTAAAGCCACCGTTTACAATATCTCGCAAAATAATACCCTATTTACTGTTTCTGTAACTCGATAATATATCTATTATTATTCAAATTTAAATAACAAAGCTTTTGCATGAGGCTCTAGGTGCTGTGGAAAATAATTAACAGTAATATTTTAATTAATAAGGAATCACGCTTTATCAAAGTTTCAGTTGTCAATACGATTCCCCATTATACTTAAGAAGATTTATAAAAATTTATTCAGTATGCGATTAGAAACATTTAAGTGAGGTTTCCTAAAGTTACCACTGATTTTTTAAAGCTTACACTCTAAAGCTGTCAAGGGAATTCCATTCCACAACAAAATTTAAGATCATTAAATTTTAAGAGAAATTGCTTTGGCTTGACATCTGAATCATTTAAAAATTCATATTAAACTTGATTTCTAATTTATTGATAATGCTTTATTACAGTATCGTAGATAAAACAAATTCCTATCAAATTTATAGCATTATTTGGAAGAAGAGATAAAATAAGAAAATATTAGATTTAATCTTGATGAGTTAAATCATTGACCACGATGATTGTAAGGATTGTCAATCTCTCTGATTATTAATATCATTTCCGATAAAATTTTTTATGAATCATTAAGTTCAAAAATTCAAAACACTCGAATATAATTGGTTATCTCCAATTCCTTTAAAATCCATTGCTAAAAATAATAGAAAATTCCGTAAATTACAGTGCCCCTGATGACTCATGATTATTTCATAATTTCGAATAAATTATTCTTTTCATAACAGACTTCTATATATATGTATCAACATATATTTTTCAAATATATAATGTCATCTCTCACGAAATGTGAGATGACCTCAAACAAGCGAAATTTAGAGTTCAGCAGATGTAATATTTAATTTTTAATTTATCGTTTCTATGAATGTTTTATTCAAAATTATAATAAAAGAATTTTTAAACATGACATGATATTTTAGTTTGCTAATCCTATTCGTGTTAATTTTGAAAGTGATTAAAGAAACAATTTATTATCTTCAATTTCGAGATTAGAATGTAAATGTTACGTTTAAAATTGATTATTTTATCTTTATAAAATTAAGATACACTATCAAAGTCACTGAAGTGGGAAATGCCATCATAGTAAATTAATTCATTCATTGTAAAAAAATTTGCTTAGCTATTGGAACATAATATGAAAATGTTATTACAATTAAATCGAAATAGATAAGATCTGTAAAATGATCCTCCATCAAGTTAAGAAACGTTAGTGAAATATGTATATAATGCTGTTAATGGTACCTGACATAACAATGAAGAAAAACTTTCACATATTCGTCTGGATGTAAATTTAAGAAATACATCCCCAGCATTTACTATACCCTATAAAAAAATTTTTAAAATCATATTCAGACTTTACTCGGATTATTTTTTTAAGTTGATGAGTATTTTCCGTAATAAAAATCTATACAAAACCTTTAAAATTTCCGAATATTTTCAAATTTCCTGAATATTTTTGAAACCTTGTTAATTTCCTGATTATAATTTTTTGCTTGATAAAAATTATAATCAGGAAATTAACAAGGTTTCAAAAATATTCAGTAAATTTAAAATTATTTAAAAAAATTTAAAGGTTTTGTATAGATTTTGTTACGGAAAATGCTCATCTCTTAAAAAAATAATATGAGCAAATTCTGAATATGATTTTAAAATTTTTTTTATAGAGATAGCTAACTCTTACAATGCAAACCCTTTTTGCTATAGTGTTAAAGACTAATTATCATGCCTTTCTTTTTAGAAATCAGTGCCTTTTTTTTTGACCAACAAATAGATTAAGGTTTTCTTATCGTGTTATAATATATTTGATCTTTATTTTCATAATTCTTGAAATCTGTACTACAAATTTGTTCACACTTCAAAGTTTCTTTATTAAGCAGTATTATTCAAGTAATGTTTAAAAATTTTTTTTTAAGTCTAGTATATTAAAATATTTTTTAAGTCTAACATAGTAAAATATTTTTTAAGTTTAATACATTAACATATTTTTAGTCTAGCATATTAAAATTTGGTTTATTATTAGAATTGTCCAGGTCTATCAAAGATGATAACCATTGCCTAGCTATTCTAGAGTGTTTTGGCAGTAGATTTCCTGTTAGGATGATAGTCACATTTAAGTTTGAGTTTTGGTAAAAAGTGGTTTGCTGGAACAGCAGTCACATTTTGAGTTTTTTGCATTTGTAGCCTATCGGTATACATGGCTGTCTAAAATAGTGATGATTTATGACAGACAGCATGGCTAAATTTTTTTAGTAATTTCAACACTGTGTTTCAAAATGTTACATGTTTAATTACTAATTCGGATGTGATCGACAGAATTTTATTATAGGCAACTAGGCGCTTGAGATGTTTAAAGGGAGTTATAAATTTGATGTGTATATCTGTATATTATAGAATATTTTTAGTA